CAAGTAGACATATTTGGTGGGGATAAGCAGATTTTGCGCCACCGACAGGTCGTCCAACGAGAGTTAAGGCTGATGAGAAAAAAATCATGTGACTGCCTGCAAACGTGCGCCATTACTAAGTTACTATATTTGATGGATTGATGGGAGAGAAAAGCCAAGAATGTTAAGGGAAGAAACAATAGGTGGAGAGTTAGGAAGAGAGGGAAAAGATGAAGGAGAAAGAGGAAAAAGGGAAGATTTTTGAAGGTTGGGAAACCCACCAGTAGTGATTTGATAAAGAGGAAAGATAGAATTGATGAGTAAGTTGTAATCATAGAGTGTGTGGCCAATTATAGTTGTATCATCAGCATAAGCTCGAATGGTAAGTGTAGGGACAGAACGTATAAGATTAAATAAGGGTTCAATTGATAAATTAAAAAGAAGGGGAGCAAAGGGGTCTCCCTGAGGGACTCCTTGTAAAACAGAAATAGGAGAGGAAAGAGAATTGTTGATTTTGATTCTAGTAGTTCAGTTGTGATAAGATGTATGGGCAAGGTTAATGAAAGAGAGAGGAAAGTTACTGGAGGTGAGAACATGGTCTAGCCATGAATGGGAAACTAACATAACCTTAGACCAGTCAATAGAAAGGACAAAGGATTGTAGAGGAGGATTATTAGTAGTGAGGTAGGAATTAATATCAAGTATAGTGTCATAAATATAATGCGAGTGCATAAAACCAGTTTGGTGTGGATGAATAAGAGAAGGAGCAAAGGATTGAAATCTATTGGCAAGAATTGTAGAGAGAAGTTTTATGTCTGTATTAGCAAGGGTGATAGGATGAAGATTAGTTATATGATGAGGATCTGTGTTTTTCTTATGAATGAGAGTAGTGATTGTTTGGGACCAGGAGTATGGAGGAGGATGGGAACCAGAAGAAATCATAGAAAATATAGGAAGGAGTATGTTTGAGATATGTATAGGGAAAAGTTTATAAAATTTGTAGGGAATGCCATCAGGACCAGGGACATGTTACCTCTGATGTTGTACTTAGTAAATTTTCCTTGTGTCCCGATTCGTGCCATAACTTTGAGGCGAGAATGCTTTCTATTGTTGATTTTAATTGTTCCTTGGACCTTAACCAAATCTAAATCTCTGCTTTTCACACTTTTGTTATGTATAAACAGCATGCTTGTTACTTAAGCTTACATTTACTTAGAGCCAAAAATAGCTACCTTTTTTATACAAACTCTAAGATCTTTAAGCAGTTACACCAGGTTAAGGTCAACTTTGCATAGTTTTAAATAGCGAACGACAAGTACTTCAAAATATCATATTGGCTCAAAGGTGACTTGCTTGTAGCTTTTGAATGTTTGCATAAGGGTATTTTTTTATCAATGTTGTCCTATTATCTTTCTCATTTACTAACCACTAGTATTTTCTAATGGTTTGTAGGGTTAGCTGAATAATAATAAAACCCTGCAAAGTTCTCTGTGTGAACAACCTTTTAGTATTAATTATTGCAACTTGGTATATTACAGCAAACATTCTTGAGAATCGATGGAAGGAAGATTCTATATGTGGCACACATATATATGTGAGTGGCAACTGTGAATTGAGACCATTCTGTTCCACCTTTTAATACTCTGAAAAGCAGCTTGGTAAACAGCAGACTGAGAACCTTAGCATTACAGTTTCTTTGTCATGTTCAGGACATTTAATTCGATAATTGTAATTTGTAATATATAGGTAATGCATGCATGAGTTATGTGTCTGTGAAATGGCTGGGCAGAAGGGAAAAGCTGCATAGATGGAATATGAATACACCCCTTCAGATACTGTAAGTGACATATGAGTATTGGGAAAAAGGACAGTGGCTGATGCAACAGTATATAAAGCATAAGTGTTATAATAGCAATCAGGTTCATAATACCTCTCAAAATCAATGAGAGTCAACATTTCAAATATCATCAATCACTGCTCCCAATTCTATTGCTAAAGCATGCCAATATCGGTATAGCAGAACATGAGAATCTTAGTACCATAATGCCCTTCAATATAATAAACATAGTCTATAAAGCCACTGTCCCAATTATCAACAGTGATGATAAAGTACCTTCTGAATCCTGTAAACAGATAATTTCATTAGTGCTATATAGCCAGTGGTGTGGATTTATAATACATTTTAGGTCAAACATGGTATATATTAGATAAATGTACAAAAAATATATAGCATGCAATCAAAGTCATCGAGAGAAATTGATAATTGCTCTCATAGAAAAAGGAATCATCTCAATTCATAATTCTAAAACTCGACACTCACATTACATGACACAGCCACTACTGCCCTTCATTTGCTTACTGCAAATACTACTGACCTTCCTCTCATCTAGTACATAGCAAAGCAGCAATGACTTCACTCAATAATATCCAACATCCCACTCCGAATGTGTCAAGGTAAAGTATGAAACGAATATAAGAAGACAAGAAAAGGAATGGTAATAAAGGATGAGATTAAAGTTCTCAACTGTTTCCCCATCTACTTACTTCAGCTTCCCTTTTACCTCTTCACTTGTTCCCATATTGTCTCTAATCGGTGTGGGGACTGGCATCATAAGACACAAAGGAATATAATGCCAAGTGCATATGCAACAGCTCTATTAATAGCACACTGTGTGCCTCATTGATATTGATAATTTCCTTCTCGAGTGCGGGGGGACATCCCAATATCAGACCCGATTGATTCAGCATAAGCTTTAGCATCATCATGTGGTAAAGTGCTTGCTTTAGCATTCCACATCGTCTTTATTGAAATCTTAATCGTCTCATTGTATCATCGACGAGCTGAATTTGGTCTTCTTCCAAGTTTTTGATTGCAAGCTTGTAATTAAAGAAAGCGAGGTTGGTTGGAGCAAATATTGTGACTTTCGTAGAACGGAATGAGATTAGAGACATCTTTGGAAGAGAAAAGGCATTGTAGCTTGAAGTTAGTAAACAGTTCAAAGACACCAAGTAAAACTTGACAGTCTAACATCTAATTAAAGAGTTCTGCTTATGCACTTATTCCTTCTCTCCTTCACATACCGTATCCTCGTAGGCTTTTAAATATAGTCAAATCCTTATGCATGGGAAGTAGATCTTCCAACCTAGGACCGTGCATGGAGAAGTCTGGCACTAGTACTAGTAATTGTGGTAAAGCGAGACAACAATAAGAGTGATAACAAATCGTGTGTGAGAATAGAAATATAAACGGTTTTTAAAAATACACCGTCATGCATGGTCTTACCCCATTCGGCAAATACCGTAAGTTGTAAACTAAAATAATATTACTATCATAAATTTGATATTAATGGCTCTGCACCCAGCTCAAGAACCCAAACAACATTTCGCGATTCGCTTGGTAACTGGATAACACTACGAAAAAGTGAACTGATTGTACGATTTTGACCGTTACGTATAAGCAATGGTAAATCATATTTTTACCAGCTTCTCCTTTGTTTAAAAAGTTGGAGAAGTGAAAATGAAATCCGTGGATTGTATCAATCATATAGAGAACACTATCTATCATTATTTCCTGAACAAAGAACAGACATTCAAAATAATATTGCCACAAATATTGAACATTACAAATTTCAATGCACTAATCAGTTTAATCAAATATTAAATGATCTCTTAAATAGACTTCAAATTGAAATTGCCAACTTTAATGTCAATGCTGTTAAACTTCAACTAGATCATCTTAAATTTACCCCAATAATGCCTTGCCAACTAATGATCAATTACCAGAGTATTAATATTACGTTATGAATATTTTAACACATAGGCTTGGAAACCAATCCAACAAAAAATATCCTTATTATTTTGTAACTGGTTCTGCAGGCACAGGAAAATCATATATAATTCATTTATTAACAAAACATCTAACAGAACAGCAATCAAAATTTCTCCAACAGGAGTAGCAGCACAAAGAATTGATGGGAAAACAATACATTCAGCATTAAGAATTACTCTGCAAGGTGGAACATTTTTAACACGAGCTATTACTGACCCAGCTTTAAAATCAACATTGACTCAAATCAGAACACTTATTATTGATGAAGTATCAATGGTTTCTGCACAGTTACTTTCATTTATTTCAGATACTTATGCAAAAATACTTTTGCATTTGGTGGTATCAATGTAGTATTAGTTGGTGATCTTGCACAACTCCCTCCAGTAAATGGAACACCCATATACTGCTCACCTGTTTGGAGACTATTCTACCCATTATTTTAACACAATCTTGTTGACAAGAAAATGATCTTATGTTCTATCAACTACTAGAAGAAATTTGCTTTGGTAATATTACTGAATCATTATGGAGAATGCTCACAGCCAAGTTAAATGAAAGCATGACAGCAGTCATACTAGATCATGATGCATTTTTAGTCACAGGAATATTATTACTGAATACGAAAGACTCAAACAAATGGCTGACCAAATTCTATTTTAATGTTTGCAATTTTTTATTAAAATTAAACACAACCCTTATTGTACAACATTATGGAATAACATTTGCACAACAAACACATAATAATCATAACTTTAATGAAATTATTATTATCTGTACTGTTTTTGCTATTCAAAATAATATACTCATCAAACTAAAAATACTTTTCAAACGAAAAAATAACGTTAATTTTATACAATCAATTTTACATTAAATCAAAGAAATTACAACAATCTACTCACACAATGTAACATAAAATTGTACAAAGTAAACATCTTTTCTAATATTACTACATTTTCTCAATAATCGACTAACAATAATAAATATTTAACTAATAAGCAAAATATATGAATAAAACTATATAATACGTTCAATTGCAAACGATTCTTACTACAAAAACATAACCTTTCTCCAAAAAACAACCCACTCTGTAATAAACCTTCAACAAGACTCATACCATCAACCATGTCTCTCGAAATCTGTTCAATAGGAGAAGTAACCGCCTACCATACTATTCCACGTACTGAATTTTCAATCGGTACCGGTACAATTATCTCTAAGCTCTCCGGAAATACTAATCTTACATTTAAAATACAACAATTTCTCCCAATCGAACCTGACACCCCTTCCATTTTTCCCCCAAGATATCATATATTTTCACGGTTCCGTCACTAAAGTAGATTCCGCAACCCAAACCATAGAAATAACATGTCTCCATACAAAAAAACTTCCACAAATCTCAACCAACTTTTTAAACGACTAGACATATATCACTGCTGTGGGAGCCATCAGCGAAAACCCACACATAACTAAAACGGCTATATCATATGACATTGCAGTCTCCCAATATGTCAAAACCGCATCACAAGGCGCATATAAAACTTTTATAATTACGGCCTTCCACTCCCCAAAATAAATACCTTCTCAGCCATACAAAGTCTACCATCCAGGCAGTCGAATCAAAATCGACGGTGCACTCGAATTGTACGACAACAGCTCATACTGCGACCTCCTTCGTCGTCCCTAAATCAACCCACAACAACAACAACAACAACAACAACAACAACAACGATATCAAAACCCCGTCGTCGTCAAATAGAGCCAATATGGTCCGCATGATCACGGTAACAAAAAAAACAAACAGAAATTACTTCAACTACAAATACTACAACCACAAACAACAATGCATCATCTGACAACAACGATGCCAACTCCCCAATCTATACAATTGACGAATCAAATGACGAACCGTCAAACGATGTTACTATCACGCAGATTAAAGAAGAACCAAAGAAAAGACGGACAAAAATACGAGAATTAGCTACCAAAAAACTACGACCAAGAAAATAAAATAGTTTAGACAACTTATAGTAGCATCAACAAGAATAGACAAATCTATATTTTATCATTGTACTTTTGTCAAAACGGATATAGTATTTAGAAATATTATTCTCTTTCTGCTGCAGTTTCTTCGTGTTATTCAACTTTTTGCAAATAATATTTGTCAGTAATTGGGTAATCATTGTAAGCTTAGGTTAACTACATACCCCATTTAATTAAAGTCATGGAATAAACAAACTAAATTTTCAAATCTTTCATGAGGATTTGAAGATGCACAGGGATTTTTTTTCCAGAAATTGGGGTAACTTACTGCATCCCATTTACATGTAAGGAGTTCAGTATCTTTTAGGAGAACAGGAGCAATCTCCTTAATAACACAGTAAGGTGAGAGAGCTTGATCAATTGGGGAAGAGATTGTTTCATGTTGTTGAATGGGCAATCCATGAAGGTGAATAACAAGGGAGGATTTTGGTGGTGTGAGATGGATTTCTTTACCATTGATTTTGATGTTAGGAAGGGAGAGATAATAATAATGGTTAAATGTGTCAGCATCTATAAAAGTAAATTGTAAGAAGGAGTTAGGAGGATTGAAATCAATTCCAAGGAGATCTTTGCAGAAGAAACTGAGAAGATCATTGTCAGAGATATGGGGGTTGGATTTCCTAAAGGGTGTTGGGTGAGTTGGTATTTGGAGGAGTGCATCCAACAAATGGTTTGCATTTGAGAGCACTTTTAGTATTCTTCCAGTTGAATAGAGTAAAGGTTCCATCTGGGTTGACTAAAGGAAATTTAGAAGTGTGGTTTTTAAAGTAATTCTCAGGGAGTTTTTCAGGAGATTTTAGTTGTGGGGAGAAGGTAGTAGTAGAAGGCACGCAAGAAACAGGTTGACCAGTTGTAGACATTTTGCATTTTTTGTTGAGTTGTTAAGAGATGAGACAACAAGTCAACATTGACAGATATGGGACATGTCCCTCCAAGTGATTTTCATAGGATATAAGTTTTGTGTACCAAACATTCTTCCAAGCTTAGACAAATCTTAATTTTTGCCTTGCTTTACTCTAAATTAACTTACTCAAGACCTCAAAAAAGTCTCATTTCTGGCACTGACACTAAGATTCTTTCCATTTACTATTACATGTGGTTTAACTTAGCAGTACCCTGTTGAAGATAGCATATACAAGGTACTTCAAGATAGCTTAGTAGTGCAAGAGTGCTTTACTTGTATATTCTGGATGGTTTGTTAGAGATTTTGTTTTGCAAGGTTAATTATATATACTTAAATTTCTTTCTGTTGGGAGAATTCTATTGCAACAGGTCTATGCAGCCATATTGATTGACCCTGATCATAAGTTATAGAGTTTACTATAGATTTATGAAAGTTTACTTAATGTCTTGTGGGCATGACTACTTTCAATAATAATAATATTTCAATTATCTATTACTACAGTCAACTGCCTATAATTCAGACACCAACTTTCTGAGGCTATTTATTGTCTGAATTATTATGGATATTTATCGAAAAAAGTTTTCTAGAGATGATTGTTTATACTGTAATTTATGATAACATGAAACCTGACTAATCAGTCGATGAACAGCCAATAAATCATCTACATGAATATTAATGTTATCCTGTTGCTCAAGAAAAGATAAAGACTTTCTTAATGCATCTTTGCCTTCTTTTAATGGAATTTTTACTTTTGCATTAGAATTATCTTCTGTTTTGACTTCATTATTATGATGTAAACATCCTGAATGATAGTGTCATCATTTAATGTCCTCTATTTTATCAATAGCAATAAATTCTACATTTTATATAATGTTAGCATAGGTATAATAACAAAGAAGCCTCAATTTGCTTGTTACTTACCATCAGCAGACAACAGGTCTGATAAATTTAGTATTAATTGATTAATTAAATTCTGAATTAATATCTGTTGGTTGTTTGCCTCTTCTTCTATTTTTTAGCTGGCCTGACTTATCATTGCATTGAAAAATGTTTGTGCATCATGTATTTCTGTATTGTCATTGCCAATGCAAATAAAGTCAAAAATATATTCAAAAGATGGTGCCAGTTTTCCCCCAACAATTTTGAGTTGTTTCCATAGTGACATTATTCCATGCACTAGAAACATTGTAGATAGTGTGTGCTTTATATTATATTTGCCAGTCTTGTTCTGAGAATTATTTTCCATAATATTGTCAAATAGTTATAACTGATGCTGGACAAATAGTTTTCTATACTGTGCTTTAAAGCTACAAATTATCCCAGCATCAACAGGTTGCAAGATCGAAGTTGAATTAGGAGATAAAAACTTAATGGTTATATTAGT